TATATACTTTGTGGGGTCTGCCACGCCTCCTTCTGCATGTTACATACATTTTAACAAAACCATTATACCCTGATTTCCCATTTTCAATGGGTTCAGGGTATAAAAAAAAAACAAATTAAAATTAAAAGTAAAATAATATACATAGTATTCAACATTAGTTAAAATTATTATTTATTCAAGGCAATCAATAGATATGAATTTCTTTGAGGATATTATTAAATTTCTCATCGTTAAAATTTGGTTGATCTGAAGAGGCAACATTTCAAGTTACATAGATTTATAATAATGCTCATACTCAAATGCTTAACATATATACGATTTTATGTTATCTGTTATGTTATAATAATAGTCATATATTTAACGTATGTAATAAAGATAGTATTTTCACGGCTTTAACTATTTATGGTAAACTCTAGACGTACCCAAAAGTCATGATATTTTTTTCCTCATTTAAAATAAAGAAATTCCAAATTGCTTTTGTTTTGAATTCCGTTTTATTTATTGATATTTGTAAGTTTAGTGCATATCATTCGTATAATATTTTATTTAAATAAACAAATACAAATTTTTGATTAGGAAATCAGAGGCGTTAAGTCATAAATGCTATGTTTGACATTTCTCGTTTTATGAAGTTTATTAAAATACCAATTTGTGTTGACCATGTCATAAAAGTGTGTGTCTCTCTGGCATTAATATTTGTGATGTGAAATGAAAACGAGAAATGTTATTTGAAATCGACTCAATTAATATTGTGACTCACATTTGAAACCTATTAGGCGAGTTCATTTATATATGTTGACAAATTTGTGAAGAGCTGAGTTGACGCGCACCTTTTACACTGATATATCATCAACATCAACATCAACATCAGCATCAGCATCAACATCAAATTAAATTTCTTGTAACGCGTTAATCTGCCATAAAAGATGACCAGCACAAAGTGTAATAACAATGGATATGAGTTTTGACCATATCAGATGCGTCCATGGCTGTGGCTCTCTTTTGATGGCCATAACTCAAACGATTTGTATCTGTTTTGAGAAGTGCTGCCATTAGAATGCCAATTTGAAAGCTTTCAGTGGAAGCAGTCCATAAAATGCGCATAAATGTCACCATGACTCAGATTGGACGGCCACACACACACTCGCACACACCAGCACACCCAAAATAATAACACACCCTTGGTCTTGGAGTTGTGGGCATCAACTTTCCGGCTGCGTATGGCGGAAACTCAACTTAAATAGCAATTAAAACTATAACTATTAAGTGGTGGGGCTTCCGAGGTATCTCGGCGAACGGAAACAAGGCGTAATGGGGCTTGTAAGACAAGAGAAGCCAAACGAATGACAAAGCAAACAATGGCCAAATGAACTTTTAACCTGCAGAACGGTCGCGCTCGCAGTACAGGTGCAGGGATCGGCATTGGGATCAGAGCGGCTCGACCCAAGCCATAAACTGACAACGTTTTGGACAAGTGTCAGGGCGTGTGATTTATGCGCGCGCTTACCAAGAACTCGAGCAACTTCGACGCATGCGCAGCGACCTGCAGGTCAGCGGGCAGCGGGCAGCGGGCAATAGGCAATGGGCAGCGGGCAATGGACGGACAGTGGACATCCGACATGGTAAAAATGTTAATCGCTTTAATCTCTCAAGTGCGCCGAAAACATGCGACGATATCCGAGTCCCAGTCCGAGTCCAAGTCCGAATCCGACTCACAGTGGAAGACAAGGCAACGCTTCCGTCACATTCCCTGCTTTGACATTGCGCAATTCTTGTTCTTGTTCTTGTTCTGTTTTTTGTTTCTGTCTGTCTGCGCTGGACATGTGTGCATCAATTGTGGACAGCAGCAAGGGCAGCCGGCAGGAACAGCAGGTTATCATCCAGTGGCATTTTGAACATGCCGCCGCCGCCTCAACGCCGAAAATTTTGCCCATTTCAAAGATATTGAAATGCATTTACTGAACAGCTGTTTTTTTTCTTCTTCTTATTTGTATTTCACTTTTGGGGATACATAAGTATTTATCATATTACGCTCTCAACATGCAGTTAACGCTCGCTCGGCTTGCGGAAGGGAGGGAACCCATAACTTATCTCTAGGGCTATGCTTAAAATATTAATGATCTATGAATCGATTGAGTTGGGACATGGGCCATGGCCCATGATGGAGCATGGAGCATGGGGCAGCAGAGTGATCGCAGCAACACTTAAAATCAAAGCACACAGTGCGGGGGAAATTGTGTATTAAAATTCTGAGCAGCTATAGAAGAAAACGATATGCTGACGCGACCCCGCTGAAAAACAAAAAAAAAAAAAAACAAAAACAAAAAAAAAACTCAAGCCAAGTGGCAAGAGTTATGGATGGATGGGATGGGATGGCTGGCTGGCTGTCTGGCTGGCTCTGGCTTTGGCTCCTCGCCACCAATGCAACCAGCATTGCGTGTATGATTTCACTAACTGATTTAGATGCAAATCAAATCAAGAGCGAGCCCCGGAAAAATGCCTGAAAAATTGGTTAGTGATAGCTGCCGAAACGAACTATGAATGTTGCATTCAATCGCTTATGGATTTCAAATTTAAATTTAAGACCTTACACATTGAGTATTTTAATGTGGCCGCAAACGAAATTCAGCCGACCGACAGCAGACAGACAGACAGCCCGGCCGACTAGTCGTCTAACCAACCAGATTGAACGACGTGCTGTGCTACGATCCAAACTCTCGAGACAGAATCAGAGTTCTAATCGGATTCAAATTCGAATCGTAGCTGACCTCACCGACGACCCCTTTTGTGTGGTATTTGTGGAGACAGTCGGAGCCCGAGCCACAGTCAGACACCCAGATACCCATCTGAATTGTGTATGAGACTATCAACGGACACATTTATTTCATGTTTATGTTGATATTTTCAAGTTTGATAAAAAAAAGCGAAGAAAAAATATTCGTTTCATTTGATATATATGTAAATGCGACGCGATTCCCGCTCCGCCTCAAAGCCAGCTCATCATCGTCGGTCATCAGTGAACCAATTATCATCAGCGAAGCAGTTAGTAGGCGCTGTTCAACAAGGCAGCACAGCTTTAAATGCCATTTATGCATTTTATTGACATTTTCGAGCCGCATTTTATCTTTGGCCCGCCGGTACGACGGTACTCCGATTCGTCGGTCCGGCAGGCGTGGCGCTTTGGGGACCCGGCCAGAGCTCCGTTTAAATCATGATGACAGTTGCATGATAGCCAGATAAAAATAGCTTGCAGCTTTTGGATGATAAGTGGGTACAGATGCATTCGGGCGATAAGCCATGACTAAGGAGCATCTCTCTAAAGTTTGTCTAGCATCTCGGCAAACACATAGAAAGTTGCTGTAGTTGTTGGTTTTGTTGTTGCTGTTGCTGTTGCTGAACAACATTGCTCTAATGAGCTGTGGTTTATGGGGTCATCCACAGATTCTGCAACTATAAAATTAAAGAAAGAGTTCAGCTCTGCACGATGCTCTTAATTGGTTGGATGATGTACGAGTATTGCTTGACTCTCCGATTAATAAAATGAACGAAAAATATCTTAAAATACCAATAATTTCCCACTTAAACTTACAAATTTACGTGTGATCAATTAAAATTTTATTTGATTTTGAAATAAAAAACTTTTCGTTTATTTATTTATTTATTGCTTACAAAATTTATGATTGGGGCCATTGACCCTTAGGATACGTATTTGCAAGGAATATGATTATGAGGAGCTGGGATTTGCATAGAAAATACTCATAAATAATAATAAATCAAATTTCATAATTCATAATGAATTTTTAAATTGATAGCGTTTTCAGTTACGATTCATTTGTTATTTAAATTCTGTGCTTAAATCATATTTAGCATTTTGATATGCCCTAATGAAGTTAAGAATCAATAGCGTTTATTAACACCAAGTATTGTCTATTGTTTGAGTTTCATTAAATAATTAATACAAATTTATAATAAATACCTTAAATAAATTAGGAGTAAAGAAAAATGTAACTACAGCAAAATATCTTTAAATTAAAATAATTGATATACTTAAAAATATAAATTATAAATTATACTAGTACTATAGATGTATATATGTAATGAATATTATATATGTATGCATGCGCACACAATAAAGTTTATTTTCGCTCCTTATAAAATTAAATAATCCAAAATATTCGTCTATAAATCAAATAAATTGTGGGTAATTTTGTATATTTAACTAAATAAAACGAAGTAATTTTTTTTTCTATGAATACAAATATAAGCAATTTGTGTGCAAGACCTGGCAGCTAACATGAATCGGTAATGTGATCCTTATGCTATTAACAGCGGCAAATTCTGTAAATAACATAATACGACAACGTGGAAGAGGAGCAATCCTTGTTAATAGAATATGAATATGAAATTTTATTATTATTAAATGATAGTCGAAATATTAAACATTTTTTATATATACATATATAGCTGTTTAATAATATTTTGATTTAGAATAATTCATAAATAAATAATTTATAAGTTAAATAATTCCTTACGATGGCTGGATCATTAGATAAAACTAAACAAAATAAAATACATTATCGAAGCAGAATCCAAATTGTTTTCTTCATTTTTGGGGGCATAACTTTAGCTGTCATACACGCACAATTAAGTCAGACACTCCCAATGAATACTATTATACTATTTAAGAATTGGCAGAAGAGCTCAATAAATAGTTTAGATAAGCTTCTCCGACAAGAGCTGCATATAATGGATATG